TCTTTCCCTGCCCGGAGTGTCCCCTCCCCGGTCCTTCCCCCCTTGCCTGAGGTTCCCGTGCAGGTGCAGCCACATGGTCCCATGCCAGAAGCCCCTTCTGGGGCTTCCAGCTGGGGGGGGCAGGGCCATGCGGGCCCCGCTGTTGCAGGAGCCTGCTGGGTCCTACTGCCCTTGGTCCCTGTCATTTTTGACTGGAACCAAAGACAGATAAATATTAATTTTCTAAATTTTTTAGGGGCTCTGTGGGCTGGATACAATGGCCGCATGGACCGGATGTGGCCTGCGAGCCATGTTTTTCCCACCCCGGCTTAGATTGAACTCTGCTTTTTTGCTTATGTCTATTATTTGCATTATTTTACAGTAGTTACTATAGTGTAGGCATCAGTCCTTTTTATAACTTGGAGCAGACATATGGGCTGCCTATACATGTGCTGGGGGGGGGGCATTTTAATTAGAGCAGTTCCCAAACAGCTGCTTTAATTAAAATGGCTCACCATCACGTGTATTAAGCCTCTGCGCATTTCAAAATGGCTACGGGATGTTTTATCTGAAGCTCAATTGACAAGGTTTAGATAAAGTGTCCCTGTGGACATTTTGAAATGCATGGGGGCATAATGGTGAGGCAACACTGGAGCATTCTAATTGAATGTGAACAAGCACATCTATAGACATCCTATGGAGACTCTTGTGATATTAGGTAACATAGACTGTGTTAAACAGTTGGGGAGAGAGAACCATAGAGAAGTCCCATCTGTATGTAATGGTTTCACTAAAGAAAATCCTTTATAGTTTTTACAGTGAAGGAAAACTACAGTTATGTTTTTGCTGTACATTAACTGCCAGCAGAAGTACTTTTAAGTTAGTGTTAGATACTAAAAATTTTAGATGCTTGTTAGAATCTCCTGACTGCAAACTTTGCTGGAAAGCTCATGAGAACCAGCTGTCTCAAGATGTCTGTTACCTGCTGCTTTGGATCAGCTGAACAGACCACAAGAATGGTCTTTTGTTGTGTTTATGAAGCCCCTGCAGAGACAGATACAGTGCAAAACAATGGAAATGTTTCAAAGCTTTCCAAAACTGGCAAGTGGTCAGAGGAAGAAAGAGATGTTTCTGATTTTTCTGGAACGCATTTTCTGAGCCTCATGAGAATGCGTAGGACAATAGTCACATTGGTCCATAGCTTAATATGTATTGTAGAATATATTCCAAATGTGTATTGAAAGAGCAGTACTAGTCAGTTGCTGTCAAGTCTAATTTTTGTGAATGAAAGCATTAGTTCTGAGAACTGGGATGGGAAAATGGAGTCATTTGACATAACCCAATATTTTTATTAATTCATTTTTTGTGACAGGGGCAACACAGAGCAAAGAGATTGTTTTCCCACCCAGCAAGGAGCCAGCTTTTGTCTCTGTCCCAGGAAACAGCTTTGCAGAAACATTCTCACTTATTCCGGGAACGTGGATTGTCAATATCATGGCAGAGGGAGTCCTGCTGGTAAGGAAATGAATGAGGAAAATAAAGGATTTGTAGTTTCTGAGAACTGGGAAGAGAATAATAGAATTGTCCAAAGTTAGTTGCCAAGCATAGTCTTATAAAAGATGTGAAATTCAGCAGTAGGGGAGAGCAGGAAAATGTTATTTTGAAAAAGAAAAATAAAATTTTATAGTTTGGTATTTTACCCCCCTCTCTCATCTGAATTTCACCTGCTTAATTTTGTGTTTCACACTTTACAACTATGCCTAGAGATAAAACTAATACTAATTATACAGCTCAATAAATTATGGCTGGATTTTTTAAATCCACAAATACTAATAAAAAAATCAATAATCTTCAGATTTTAGCCAAATCTGAGTGACTTATCCAAAGTTGGCCTCAAGTCCAGTTTGAAACTCTTTCCACAAATAACACTGCCTATACATGTGCTCTGGAGTGGGGGCTTGGGGGCCTGTGGCATTTTAATTAGAGCAGCTCTAACTGTGTCTCATGTATTCAGAGTCCTGTGTTTCAAAATGGCAACGGGTACATTTAACTAAAACTCATTCAACAAACTTTAGTTAAAGCGCCCCTGCCACAAAGTTGTCAATGCAGCTGATTTTGATTTTCCATCAGTTCATTATAAAAATGGAGATACTTACTTTTTATAATCTTCTGTGTGGTCTGAGCATTCTTTGTTCCTAGGATTACATGGTGCTATTACCTAGTGATTACTATGAAGCGTCCGTCTTGCAGTTACAAGTTACAGAGCCTTGCACTTATTCAAGACGTGCTACAAGAGATAAGTTAATATACACACTTTATAATAAGCCAATTATTTTAGGTAATTCTAATGTTACTGTTTCAATTTATAATTGGTAATCATTGTCATTCCTGTGTTTGTGTTTTTGTTTTTGTTTTCATAAGCTGCTTACTTTATCAGCATTTGCCACTGGACAGATTTTCCTGTGTCCTCAGTTCAGAGGCAACATATTTTATGCATGGGGGAGAATACAGAAAAATAGCTGTTCAACAGCCAACTCCTGAACATCCAGTGATGTCGCATATCTATGGAAGAGAGGTCAGATTCTTGTAGACCTTCTAATGGTTGTTGATTGTAGTCACATCTGTATTGCTAATTAGAAACCTCTTGGGAAAGATTCTGCTGGAAACTCAGAATAGCTCTGTTGGCTTCTGTGAAGTTACTTGGGATTCAAAAATCAGGACTAAGAGTACAGTTCAGTGTATTGACTGTTCTTACACCAGTCCTGCAACAAATATGAAACTATGATTTGAGTCAATATTTTAATCTAATGAAGGTAAAAAGTTTCCTGAGAATTTATTCTCTGAAATCCCTAAATTTTGGATGAGTTACTGTCAGATCATTTCCAAAATAATTACAATGTTTTTCAGAAATTATGGCTTAAAAAGGAAATTTTTGAATTCATAATTTTTCTTAAATGCATGTGTACACAGTTTACTAACATAGGCATTTAAAAAAAAAAACCAAAAAGCTGAACAATTATGCCATCATCAACCCCGTAAACCAGTCATGTTTTATCCTATATTGTTTTATTACAGCAATACCATTATAGGAAAAAAAACCTTATTTGATCTAATAACTTGTATGGGAATTACACAAAAGACAATGATCAGCTTTGTCTCCTGTTAATGTTCTGTTCTGCAGTTTGTTCTTGAAAATGTGCACTAAAATAGCAACATCCTATATCATAGGCCCCAGTTGTTCATATACTTATGTTTGTAAGTATTCCCATTGAACTGTGACTAATCAGATAAATAGAAGTGGATGCTTAAGTTTTCACAGGATCAGGGGGTTAGAGAACAAGTCTGTTTAGCATTAGGATTATAACTTCAATTATACAGCATCTTACAACAAAAAGAAAAACACTACAGCTGTATTACATTTTTCACACAGCTTTCTCAAAGCATTAAAATAAATAGATTTTTTTTCAAACAATTTGCATGAGAGAACTCAAAAGAAAGATGACTGCATTTTTGGTGGTAGGCAAAGTAATCTTTTATGTACACTTTTAACTCCACAAAGCCAAGTAAAGCTTGTGTAAAGTGTTCTATAAATCTAATGATTGTTTTCAGTGAGATTCAGATTTATTTTGTTCAATGTCTAATAGATCGATTTACAGCTGATACTGAACATTCCCCAAGTTGGTCGCTACGCAGTAGTGCTTGAATATGCCAATGAAGATGATCAGTTATACACTGCTAATGTGATAATAAACAGCCCTGAGCCAGTGATGGAAGCCAGAGTGAACATTTATAGCTGTAAATACAGGTAGGGATTTCAGAAATAATCATAGAATGATTAAATTATCAGTGGGAATAGTGTGATGTACTTTTTAATAACAGATCTCTTTCTGATATATATGAATGTACGTTGATGTATAATTTGCTTTTTTTTCCCCTAGGAGTGTTAAATCTTCTGTATTACTTGTATGTTCTGAATCATTCTTTTTTTTTTTTAATTCCTTCTCTTTAATCTAGTTTCTCAAGCTACACTCTGTACCCTGGTATCTATGCACTCACTATTTGCTATAGGAAACTGGGAAATGGATATTCACACAAAATTTTGCATCTTAGAATGCTATTGTAAGTCTTTATTAAGTACAGCATCCTAGATTTTGAACATGTGCTCACACAAAATGATCTGTGTGTAGAGGAGTCCACCATGTGGCAGGATAGTTGCATTGTCTCAATTGAACTTATCAGGAACAATTAGTACAGCCAACAGGCTCTAGGCCAGAGGTTCCCAAACTTTTTCTTACTGCCTACCTTCTTCCAGATTTGCCAGCTGCCCGCCTACCCCTACCAGCATATTGTTTATATTTTAACACCTTAAATGCCAATTATTATTATAATGAAAATTAAATCATTACACAGTTTCTCCCACATACACCCCAGGGATGTTTTGTGTACCCCCAGGGATACCCGTACCACAGTTTGGGAACCCCTGCTCTAGACCAGAAGACTATAAGGGAATGCAGTTTACATTGGTTGTCATGTGAGAACATTCTCTTGGTGCTACGTGCTTGGATTGGCTATACCTATTTAACTCGAAGCACATCTAGGTGACACTAGTAAAAATATTAGCAGCCAGTTGACTATAGCATCCCCGCCAGTTCTTACAGCAGTGGAGCTTCACCACTGAGTGCCTAAAGATGAAAGATTTTCCTGAAATTTTCAGTGTAGATGAAATATTAGGCTACCAGACTTGTATGTATTTATTTATAACAATATAAATATGTATGTGTAACTTATGAATGAATGTGTGTGCTGTGCAATAGTTAAGCCACTCCTGAGCTGGAATATATGGCATAAGACATATAATTAACTTCAGCCAGTAGACTTCAGTGTTAGTAGTAGATGATACAAACTAGGTCCTGCAAACACTTATTCCCTGGTGACCTACCCAGTGGTGTAACATAACAACTGAATGCTCTGGGCAATACTGCTGCATGGAGCAGCATGACTGACTGTACTACTGGTGGCACAATAGCGGCTGGTCCAGCAGCAGCCACTTGTAAACACTTGTAAACCAAGGCCTCCTGCCCTTGGTTACATTACTGTAGAGACCTTCTGACATGCATAAATTTACTCACAAGGGCAAATGTTTGCAGAATGTTTGGGTTGAAAGTATGTCCCTTTCACTGCAGACAGTTGCCTCATTATGAGCCTGGTATAGAATGAATGTTAATTTAGAGATTAGAAGGATACGTAGTAAAGACATGGTTGCCTCTGAGGTAAGATTTCATGCCAAGTGAATAAGAGACAAATTTAAAAACTTTTTTTCTTTTGGTTTATTTTGGATTCCAGTATGTTTTATATATTTATTTATAGTATATTAGGTACATTCATATTACACTTTAAGGAGCTGCTCATAACATACAGATAAAGCTCTTCAAGCATTTTAATAGAGCTTGTCCAGTAAAAGTAATTGTCTTTTGCTGACATTGTAGGTAGATTGTTGTCATTTACAATCTTTACATTTTAAATTAAAATTTACTGTAGGTAGATTGTTATATCATTTACAATGGTTAAACTGTAGGTAGATTGTTATGAATAATTGTACTGAAATATAAAATACTCAAAAAATCACTTTGAAAAGTAATCACAGACTGTCAGCAGCTGAAGTGAGTCCTTAGAATCATAAAGGGACTTCAGGAGGTCATGTAGTCCAACCCCCTGAATCAAAAGTGGGCAGACGAGAATCTGATGGTGTTCAACGCCGATAAATGCAAGGTTCTCCACCTTGGGGAAAAAAAACCTGCAGCATCCTTATAGGCTCGGCAGTGCTATGTTGGCTAGCACTATGCAAGAAAGAGACTTGGGGGTCATCATTGACCACAAGATGAACATGAGCCTGCAATGCGATGCAGCGGCTAGTAAAGCGACCAAAATGCTGGCTTGCATCCATAGATGCTTCTCAAGCAAATCCCGGGACGTCATTCTCCCCCTGTACTCGGCCTTAGTGAGGCCGCAGCTGGAGTACTGTGTCCAGTTTTGGGCTCCACAATTCAAAAAGGATGTGGAGAAGCTTGAGAGAGTCCAGAGAAGAGCCACGCGCATGATCAGAGGTCAGGGAAGCAGACCCTACGATGACAGGCTGAGAGCCCTGGGGCTCTTTAGCCTGAAAAAGCGCAGGCTCAGGGGCAATCTGGTGGCCACCTACAAGTTTATCAGGGGTGACCACCAGCATCTGGGGGAACGTTTGTTCACCAGAGCGCCCCAAGGGATGACGAGGTCGAATGGTCACAAACTACTTCAAGATCGTTTCAGGCTGGACATAAGGAAGAACTTCTTTACTGTCCGAGCCCCCAAGGTCTGGAACAGCCTGCCACCGGAGGTGGTTCAAGCGCCTTCATTGAACACATTCAGGATGAAACTGGATGCTTATCTTGCTGGGATCCTATGACCCCAGCTGACTTCCTGCCCTTTGGGCGGGGGGCTGGACTCGATGATCTTCCAAGGTCCCTTCCAGCCCTGATGTCTATGAAATGTCTATGAAAGCAGGACCATCCCAACTAGATCATCCCAACCAGGGCATTGTCGAGCCAAGCCTTAAAAACCTCCAAGGATGGAGATTTCACCACCTCTCTAGGTAACCCATTCCAGTGCTTCACCACCCTCCTAGTGAGAGAGGTTTTCCTAATATTCAAGCTAAATTTCCCCTGCTGCAACTGGAGACCATTATTCCTTGTTCTGTCATCTGCCACCACTGAGAACAGTCTAGCTCCATTCTCCTTGGAACTGCCCTTCAAGTAGCTAAAGGCTGCTATCAGATCTCCCCTCAGTCTTCTCTTCTGCAGACTAAATAAAAGCCCAGTTTCCTCAGCCTCTCCTCAATAGTCATGTACCCCAGCCCCCTAATCATTTTTGTTGCCCTCTGCTGGACTCTCTCCAACTTGTCCAAACCCTTTCTGTAGTTGGGGACCCAAAACTGGACACAATACTCCAGATATGGCCTCACCAGTGCAGAATAGAGGGGAATAATTATTTCCCTTGATCTGCTAGCAATGCTCCTACTAATGCAGCCCAGTATGCTGTTAGCCGCCTTGGCAACAAGGGCACACTGTTGACTAATATCCAGTTTATTGTCCACTGTAACCCCCAAGTCCTTTTCTGGAGAGCTGCTGCTTAGACAATTGGTCCAAAGCTTGTAACAGTGCATGGGATTGTTCCATCCTAAGCACAGGCCTTTGCACTTGTCCTTATTGATCCTCATGAGATTTCATTTGATCCAATCCTCCAATTTGTCTAAGCCACTCTGAATCCTAGCACTACCCTCCAGCATATCTATTATTTCCCTCAGCTTGGTGTCATGTACAAATTTGCTAAGGGTGCATTCTATCCCATCTTCCAGATCATTAACATTTGCTGGGGGTGCACTCTGCCATCTTCCAGGTCATTGATGAAAATATTGAACAAAACCAGCCCCAGAACTGACCTCTGGGACACTCCACTTGATACTGGTTGCCAACTAGACATCAAGCCATTGACTACTACCCTCTGAGCCCAATGATCCAGCTGGTTTTCTATCCACTTTATAGTCTATTCATCCAACCCATGCTTCCTTAACTTGCTTGAGAGAATGTTATGGGAGACTATCAGAAACCTTGCTAAAGTCAAGGTATATCACATCCACTGGTCTCCCCACATCCATAGAGCCAGTCATCTCATCATAGATGACAATCAGGTTGGTCAGGCTTGACTTGCCCTTGGTGAATTAATGCTGACTGTTCCTTATCACCTACTTCTCCAAGTGCTTAGAAATGGATTTTTGAGGACTTGCTCCCTGATTTTTCCAGGAACTGAGGTGAGGCTGACCAGTCTGTAGTTCTTTGGATCCTCCATCTTCCTTTTCTTAAAGATGGGCATTATATTTGCCTTTTTCATATCGTTTGGCCTCCCCTAATCTCCATAGAGTTTTCAAAGATGATGGCCAGCGGCTCTGCAATCATACTGGCCAGCTCCCTCAGCATCCTCAGGTGCATCTCATCGGGCCCTGTGAACTTGGACACATCCAGCTTTTCTAAATAGTTCCTAACCTGTTTTTTCACCACTGAGGACTACTCACCTCCTCCCCAGGCTATGCTGCCAGGTGCAGTAGTCTGGGAGCTGACCTTGCTTATGAAGACTGAGGTAAAAAAGGCATTGAGTACTTCAGCCTTTTCCTCTTCATCTGTCACTAGGTTGCCTTCCCTGCTCAGTAAGAAACCTACACTTTTCCTGATCTTCCTTTTGTTGCTAGCATACTTGTAGAAACCCTTCTTGTTATCCTTCACGTCCCGTACAACTCCAGTTGTGCTTTGGCCTTCCTGATTTCATCCCTACATGCCCAAGCAATATCCCTAGTCATCTGTTCAAGCTTCTTCCACTTCTTTTAAGCTTCTTTTTTGTGTTTAAACTCACTGAAGAGTTATCTGCTAAGCCAAGATGGTCGCCTGCCATATTTGTTATTCTTTCTGCACATCGGGATGGTCTGTTCCTGCACCCTCAGTAAGGTTTCTTTAAAATACAATTAGCTCTCCTTGATGACTTTGCTCCTCAGAGTGGCCTCCTGGGGGTTTTGCCCATCACTTCCCTGAGGGAGTCAAAATATGCTTTTCTGAAGTCCAGGGTCCATACTCTGCTGTTCTCCTTTCTTCCTTTTGTCAGGATCCTGAACTTGATCATCTTGTGGTCACATGTAGGGGGTCACAGTCTAGCTGTGTAGGGCCAGATTCTGCTCCTTTTACTCATGTTGATCTACCACTAATATCAAAGATCACATGGCCCCTGTGGGGTGCTTGGTTCTAGAAAGCAGCAGTGTTCTTTACCACTGAAGAATGGTGGCACTTTAAAGTATATTTACCAAGTACCTGAGTTTTTTTTGTTATCTAGCCTGTTACGTAGCATAAAATACCTAAAAATGACATGTGGAATTTTTCAGAGCCTGCTTACAATGACTGTTCAAGTGGAGACATGAACTGAAATCTAGGTTTCAGTTATGGATACAGTACACTAAAGTACTGTTTTAGAAGTGGCTCCTTTCTCCTTTTCTTTATCTGGTCTTATCTGTTGATAAAGGTATTTTTTGCCTTTTGTCTAGGAGAATAGCTGGTATGTTCAAACAGTGGACATCAGCATGGGAAATAAAAAAGCATGACAGAGAGACTAATTTTTAATTCTACTCTCTTCTGCAGCTTTCTTTGTCGTAGTGTGGTGGTTGATAATATGAATCGCATTGCAGTCTTTGACCTTCTAGCTGATGCAAAGTTGCATCTTATGGCATCATCGATAAATTTTCTTTTGGTAAGTGGTTTTCTTTTATTCTAAATGCTTTTCTCAGGCAGAAAAGAAACACCCTTTCCTCAAAGTTTGTGTTTTATATGTTGAATATTTAGGGGTGTGATTTAGATGTTTGGGTTGATGATTTAATAACAGTGGTCAGCAACCTTCTAAAGCTGCCAGCTGGATTGACTTAGTTTTTTTCAGATGTGGATGAGTGGGCATTAGGACCCAGCTGCCACTTCTCATAGAACAGAATCATAGAAAATTAGGATTAGAAGGGGCCTCAGGAAGTCATCTGGTCCAACCCCCTTCTCAAAGCATGACCATGTCCAACCGTCCCCAGCTAGATCATCCCAGCTAATGCTTTGTCTGCCCGGGTCTTAAAAACCTCCAAGGATGGAGAGTCCACAGCCTTTCTGGGTAAGCTGTTCCAGTACATTATTACCCTCCTACTGAGAGAGATTTTCCTATATTTAACCTAAACTTCCCTTGTTGCAACTTGAGACCATTGCTCCTTGTTCTGTCATCTACCACCACTGAGAGCAGTTTAGCTCCATCCTCTTTGGAACTATACTTTAGATAGTTGAAGACTGTAATTAAATCCCCACCCCAGTCTTCTCCAGACTAAATAAGCCAAGTATCCTCAGCCTCTCCCCATAAGTAGGGACTACGGAAATTCATGCTGGAAGTGTGCTGCATGGTCCCTTTAATCTTGCAGTTTCCCCTACGCACCTCCCCCACCGCTGATTGTCAGAGGGGCTGTGTTACTCACTGATCGTCAGAGGGGCTGTGCTACTGATCAGCAGGGAGACAAAAACTGTAGTTTTAAATATGCTGCAGCTTTTGCTTCCTGCTGCTGATTGACAGAAGGGCCCCGGTGGTCCTGTGGCTTGCTGCTGACCAGACCAGAGGCAAAAAGTGCAGCATCTTTAAAACTGTGGATTTCGCTTCCCAGCCATCAGGGGCAACTGGCAAGCTGCTCTGCCAATCAGTGATGGGGGGACATGTGGGAGAAACTGTTGGGGAAAACTTGTCCCCAGGTTCGTTAGGCAGAGGCTCAGATGAACAACAACATGAGTTTAAAGACTTGATTTATTAAAGAATGCATTCTGAACAGACAACTGCCCCGAGAGGTAACTGTCTGTTGTTCTACTTCGCACGCAGCTTGATTATATAGCAAGTATGATATAGGAAGTATGACATCATATGCATAGTAACAGATACATCAATCTATTTAATAGCCACACACTTTCTATACTAGTATCCTGTTTTTACTAAACTAGAATTGTTTCAGTTTCTGCTTAGCCTAGCAGTTTGGGGTCATGCCCTTTGACTTCCTCACAGCTTAAGCTGTGTACGTGACCTGCTCGCTTACACATAATGGCGATTGACTCCGTTCTGTTCCCCTTCAAAACTACAAAATTAAAGGAACCACCATGTAGTACACTTTCAGCATGAATTCCAGTGGTCCCTACTTATACATCATGTGCCTCAGCCCCCTAAGCATTTTTGTTGCCCTCTGCTGGACTCCACCTTCCCAATGGTAGCACAGGGAAAATGCTCTCAGTCTTTTTCAAGCAGTGGGACTTTTCCCAGCAGCGGCATAGGGAGAGAGACTGCTGCCAAAGTATCTCCATCCCTCCCCCCAAATGCCACCAAAACCCCATGTCCTTGGGCCATGTCCAGATGGCCTTGTGGGCTGGATCTGGCCTGTAGGCCATAGGTTGCCGACCCCTGATTTAGAATACAGTTTGGCTAAGTACTGGCAGTCAAAAATCCTGGGGCTGAAATGATTCAATCTTTGCAGGTTAGTCCTAGGCCGTTTGTAGACAAAACAGGAGACATGTGTGCATGACACTTTAAAGTGGGCTAAATGCTTTTGCACCACTCTAATAGTGTTTGCACACCTCAGCGGTGTATTGCTCATTAATTCTGGCCGCTGTAGGAAATTCAGTGGCACAATGTGCCTTAAATGACTTGAGGCACAGCAAACTAAAACCCTTTCGAGGAGTTTTAGTTTGCTGCCCCTACAGCCACGAAGCAAAGCACAGGGTTCCGTGCAGCTCCACAGCTCTGCAGGATGCCCTGCAGGAAGCCAGGCGGCAGCCCGGGAAAGCAGCTCTGCCCAAGAAAAGCAGTGAGTCTGATCTTTTTTTTTCCTGCCCCTGGAGCCTGCCTGAGCTGTGCGGACATCCAATGCTTCCTTCTGTGGTTGCAGTGCCCCCCAGGACTGCCCAAGCCAGGTGCCAGCAGATAGGTACTGCCTGTGGGGGAGGGCTGCCGTTGCCATGGAGGGAAGCACAGCCTCCCCCACCCCCAGCCCAGGGACCACTCCGCCTGCTGGCAGCTTGCCCTCCCCTCCCCACCGGAGAGGCAGTTAAGTCAGCAGGGGGTGTGCATGACACAGGGGTTTAATCAGCCCTAAATTGAAGCAGTGTATTTTAAAACCCACCACTTCAATTTAGGGCGCCTGTTTCATCTACACACGCCCTAAACTGCATAGATTAAATTAGTAAGCAAGTGAACACACATTCACTTTTGATTCTGAAAATGCCTGCAGTGACCAGGCCAGAAGCCAGGGAGCACTAGAGCATGCCTCCCTGCTTGGGGAAAGGCTAGCCCTCCCACACTGCAAGAGGAATTTCGCAGGGAGGTGCAAAGCATCCTGGAGAGGATTGTGAGTTAACTTGAATCTGGAAGGGATCTGGGACAGAAGTTCAGTAAACCAATTTAACCTTAATCTATTAAGTCTGATACTACATCCATCCAAGCTTATCTTCAACCTGTTTTGGCCATTTTGAAAGTGGTTTATTTGCACTGAACTTCTTCTATATTACAGGTTTGAACCAGTTTCCAATCACTTATTCTGGTTTATGTGTAATTTCTGTCCCTAGGCTTTGAGAATTGCTAAGATGCATATAACTATCAAACTGAAGCAAAAGCATTTTCCTTTCTTGGCAAAGGCATCGCCAACATGCCTCTGCCTGGAAATTTCCCTTTCCTGCAAGTCCAGTTAAAGGAAACCTTTTCTAGTAGCTTTTATACTTTATCAGGATACTTATTTTCCCCCCCTACTTTTTGACCTTTTTTTAACGTCTTAATAAGATTTTTCCAGCGCTGTCTCAAAATCTCATGACTTTGCAAGCTTTCACGTTTGAAACGGCCTTTGAAAACTTATAATTAGAAGTAGAAAGCCTTCACTGCCATCTTTTGGTCACATGTATATTCTTTTTCCGGGTTGACTTTACTTCCAAGTTGTTTCTTATGTTTTCGATTTTAGGGAGAATTTTGATTCATAGATTCATAGATTCATAGATGTTAGGGTCGGAAGGGACCTCAATAGATCATCGAGTCCGACCCCCTGCAT